GACTATCGGGAGTGCCAGACCACTGGATGCCGAACAATTGGAGTTTTACTGTACTTGGTTCAATGCAAACCTTTCCGCAGACCAGCAGTTGCTAATGGAAACTCACCGTTAATTACATAATTATGCCTGAGCTCTTTTGCTAGTGCTGCAGCTAGGCAGAATGGCTTAATTTAAAATATTAAACAGATTAAGCGTTGTAACTTTCTCATGTTGATTTATCAAACTTCATTTTAAATAAAGTAAAATGTTAATTTATGTCCAACACTAAAAGTTTCAATGTTTTCTTCTTTATGGCAGGGGTGGGGAACCTTTTTTGGGTCAGGGGCCACTGACCTACAGAAAAATCAGTTAGGGACCACACAAGTGAGAATTAAAAAAAAAAAGCCTACTCCAAAAAAAACCCAAACCTCACTTGATGTGGCCCCCAACTAAGACACCTCACCTCTGGCACTACAGCCCCGTGGGGTGTGGGGAAGGGACAGAGTTTAGGTTTTCCCATAGGCCAGATTTACTCTTCTGGGATTCTGGAGTTGGTGGATTTTATGGACCCCTTAGATTCTCAGGTGGGGACTACAATGAGGGGTTCAGTGTGCGGGACAGGGCTGCCAGCGAGTGGGATACGTATCGGGGTGCAGGATCTGGGCAGGAGGTGGGGTGCAGAAAAGGGAGAGGTTGTGAAGTCTGGATGGGAGATAGGGTGCAGAAACAGGCTGAGAGTATGATGTCTGGGCAAGAGGGAGGGTGCAGGAGCAAGGGAGGGTGTTGGAACAAGCTGGGGGGGTGAGGTCTTGGCGGGGGGAGAAGGGGAAATGAGTGAAGGGAACTTGGTGCAGGGGTCAGAGGCCTCTCAGTGACCTAAGGGAGGTCAGAAAGCAAACCTATGCCATACAGGAGGCTACAATGCAGCAGAAGGTTCCGGTCTGGCTTTGAAATGACACTGTTTGGTATCCTGAGCTCCCCAGTACCTGCTCTTCCCCCTCCTTCAGAACCCAGAGCCACAGTGCTGCTTCATGCATGTGTTATTACCATGGCAACATCTTTCACCTTCTCAGCTTTTAGCTGGCTGGAAGCCCTGCAGTGCTTTGTGCTGAGACTGCCAAGAGGGGTGACAATCTCCCCCACCCACAACACAGAGAGTCTGGGATACCTGCTAGCACACCACTGCTGCCTGAACACACATACACACACGGGTTTCTGCAAGCTGATCATGGGGACAGGGGGGCAAACCAGGGACTGGTGGAGAAGAGTATTTCCCGTGCATGAGGTCCTCTTTAGTTTTTGAAGTCATGAGAGAAATGCTGTTTGGTAATTTCGTCAAGGGACTCGGCGGGTTCAGTATAGAAACCTGCAAAGATCTCAACATGTCAAAATGCATGGGAAAGTAGCATGCGTCATTAGAGGGCTGGAAGGTTCAAATGCCACTGCACAGAGGTCTGCTTTGATGTAAGGCAGCACAGAGGTTGGGTAATGCATCACCAGCATCCATCAGTAGAGGGCTGGAATGTTCAAATGCCACTGCACAGATGTCTGCTTTGATGTAAGGCTGCACTGAGGTTGGGTAATGCATCACCAGCATCCGCTAGTCCCCATTCACATTTGCCGCTGCCGTGAATCTGACACCACTCTGTGCAGCCTCTTCCTACACACACACACCGCATAAGCAGTTAACTACAGAACCGATCAAAGGCCTTGAAACTCCAAGAGGTTTAGCTCCAGCCAACAGAGAGCAACTGGATGATGTGTTAGCAGCTCCACAGAGCTAGCAGCCTATAACCCCAAACACAAGACACTGACTTTGCCTACACTTCTAAAATTAAAGTGTTGCCATAAATGAAACTATGGCCATAGCATGAGCTTTATGTAAACCACAGCCAATAGGGGAGTAGCTGAAAGTGTTAGGAGCCCATTTATCAAGGGCGTGTCACAGCGCTGTTAACTGCTGTGTTCTGGGCAGTGCTTTTTCTACACTCAAGCCAGAAAGCTGCAGCACAGTAGAGTGGCAGTGTGGACTTAGCCACCGACAAGCTTAAAATACAAGGACATTCCTGTAACAAATGCAGACCATATTACGGGTGTACAAAGATCTCTTCTTTACTTGCAGAGTTGCTCAGGCTAGGTTTCTCCTTGGTGAATTAAGCTTTATTATACTTCCTTCACCCAGCAGGTGACATTAATATGCAAGGCCTGGACAGCTAAGCAAGAGCCAAACTCCATGTATCACAGCTGGAGATGAAGTGGCACTGACAGATGGCGTAGACTTATTACCCAGGATCCTAGAATGCTAATTGCTATGGAAAAATGTGGTACGTGTTTCCAAAGACTCTTTAGTTTTTACATTTTGTGGGAAAACATTAAATTTTACTGAAAGTCCGGTGTCACTTATTCAACACACAAAACCTCCCCTCTTGTGGCTGTTTTTTAATGTGCTTTAAAAAATTTTTACATTTCGCTAAACATACTCCAATAAACTGCAGAAACAATGAGGAGCTCTGTGGCACCTTAGAGTCAAACAGATTTATTAGGGCATAAGCTTTCGTGGGTAAAGCCCAAGTGTTTTACCCAGGAAAGCTTATGCCCTAATAAATCAGTCTGCCTCCAAGCTACCACAGGATTCCTCTCATTGTTTTTTTGCAGATACAGACTAACAAGGCTACTCCTCTGAGATTTTTCCAATAAACTGCTTCTGGCATAGAGATTACTCAACAGCGTAGAGAGATTCGCGTTGAAATGCTTCTCAAATTTCACTTCAGCCCAGATGCGAGTAATTCAGGCTATGAAATGATGCCAAAAACTTTAAAAATCCTCCCTAAAGACCACAACACTGAGTTTGGCAAGGACAAATCTCACATTGATAGCAGTGTGCCTTTCAGTCCTGTACGGAGCAAGGCTGTCAATTATGTTCAAAGGCAGAGACACCTGCACAGCACATGGAAAGCACCACACAAACTGAATGAAAATAAACACAAGAGGCTGAAACAGCAGAACCATTGACAACAGTAAAGAAACCATGCACAGCGACGGAATACTGTAATTCTATTAATATATTATGTGTGATGGCACTGGTAGGCTTCAAGCATGCATCCAAAGATAAAATGTTGTGTTTAAATGACCAGAGAAACTAACCTTCAGCGTTTCTTTTTAATCACGGAAAAATGCTGATTTTTTTGGGGGGGGAGGGTCACAGAATTTTGTTATCACTGAAAGCTAGGATCCCTGCTCATTACAAGCTCGTCACATGGCTATGTAGTAGTTATTGTACGTGACTAGCAATGCCTCCCTCTCACTGGCAATTCTGCCCACTGATATTAAGCCTGGGTATGTCTCAGCCAATACAAGGAATGATCATGTGCAAGGGAAGAACAAGCAGTAGCCAAAACATCTGGCATAATCAGGGAGACCATACTGTGATGGTTAACACCATTAAGCCTTAACCAATAGGCGGGGGTTAGAGCCGCTCCCCACCCACCCCGGAGTCAAGGGCTGGTTCAGCCCTGCGGGGCTCACTATAAATAGTGACTGCTCCGGCAAGCCAGAGCATCCCTGTCCGTGGTGGGCCCGGCCCCCTGCCGTAGATTACATGCTGGCTCTGTGGGAGTGGGGACAGCACAGCCACACTTCCGGGGAGGCTTTGCCACAGGCTCTACAGCGTAAAACTTCACACTGCAGAGACCGCAGTGCATGTAACCACTCACAAGCCTAGTGGTTAGATGGTTACATTTTTAAACAACTTTTTACATCCCTAGACTAGGACGTTAAGTAGTGATTAAGTCCCGGCTCCGGGACCGATGCAGCTCTGTTTTTGAAATAAAAGGCAGAGCTGCAGAGGTCTGAGTCCCAGCTTGTGAGGGGTCCTCCACTTCATCTTTGCCTCCCTGCGGACACAGTGCTGGGGGGAAACCAGCTTTTGAACCAGCTCCCCTCCCACGCCCCCAGCACTGGCTCCTGCTCCCTCCCCTTGCTGCCTCTCTGCAGCAAGGGGGTGGGGGAGCAAGTAGCTGAGTAGTGCGTATGCTTATTGGGTAGTTGAACAATCAACTAATCGCTTACATCCCTACCCTAGACCATACCTCACATTTGGCTGGTGCAGTTCCTTTTTCCCAGTTCCCAGGCATCCAACTTTTTTGGCAAGACCGTGCATTTGCCCTGTTTACAGTGATCATAAATTGGCAACAGCTACTTGGACAAATGCTGTTGCCAGTTGTGAGACCCATAGCGTGACAGTGGGGGAAGGGGGGAAGAGATGCACGCAGGCAGCCAGTCCTATGCAGAAAGGAGGGCTCCGGAGAGTGGCGTAGGATAGGCTCACGAATGCAAGCTGCAGAGGGGCTCAGGCTGGCTCTGAACAGGCCAGCTCCACACGGCCAGGAAGCAAAGAGGTCTTGGAACAGCCCTTTGTGGAGGTAGAAGGGGCCTTGGGATGGCCCCCATATGTCTTCTCGTTTTTGCCTTTGGGAATATGGTCACTGATGCCTGTGTGCCTCAGGCTGGATCAAGCACATGGCCAAGGGCTAAATGCTTTCAACTCTTTACAAGGAGGACAGGTGTTCCCCAAAACTGAATTTGAGGTGTCTTTACCTTTGGCCTAGACTTGAACCAACCGCTCCTCTGCGTGATTTTAGGGGAAGTTTTGGGAGAAGCCAAACATCATCTGTGCGAACCCTGGAATTGAGAACAGCTAGGCTAACAAGAGTATGAAGAGATTATAGGACCACCATCTGGTTCTCCTTTCCCGGCCCTGTCACAAAGGTCATGTGCTCTATGCTAAAAATCACAAGATTTCATTTCATCCTTACCACTTCACTTAATATTTCCCCTCACTTCACGCTCTACAATGCAGCCAGAATCTTTCAAGCCAAGGAGGGTCTCCCTTCCAGAGCCATCTGCCAGGAACGTATCACTTGCTGGAGGCATCCCCTGTTAAGTCTCTGCACTCTGATATTGAACATCCACTGCTCTCCCACATCACTCCACATCTCCAGACTAACCCTTTATGCGCCTCACTAAGAAACAGCTACCTGCAAAAGGGGACATTAACTGGTTAACCCTCATCATCAGAATACAAGATAGCCGGAACTTAGGAAACCTATTGCAAGTACAGCTACAAAGCATTGACAAGTCCTCCCATTTCAAGAAATACCAATTCTCCCTGTTAAACCCAAACATGTTCCTTCTGGAAGCAATCATCTAAAAATCTGATACTCCAATACACTTTTGGCTAATACACCAATGAAAGCTGTTGATATCTTCGAAATCCAGTCTCTCTTTCAAGTATTGGCAAGTTAGCTTGAAATATTGTGGTGTCAGTAGGACCAGCCAAACTCAAGCTAGTATATTTGGAGCCCTGATCAACTAGAACACCCTGCCATACCTTCACATTCTGGAACAAAACACCCGTAATTTTAGATACTGTTCTTCAAAAACGTTTACACTCCAAATTCTGCTCACTTGCTGGAACCTGTGAGGTTGCTCTTTGTGGTTCACTTGGAAAAAAAAGGAAAAGAGTTCTATTTTCTTTTATCATGCTGGTTTAAGAATTGATTGGTTGTGCACAAGTCACGAGTGCCATCTAGTGGTTTTCAGCCTTCCTCAGCCCACAGCTGCAGTGCAGGGCTACTCAACTTTGGAAGCCCCAAGGGCCACAATGTTACTCCTAGCACATGCTGAGGGCTGCAACTTAAGTGTAGTTCCATATACATGCAAATATATACTCAAATATATGCAAACAGCTTCTTTCACACTCATGGGCATGATTAAGGCAAGACTATAACTCACAGGGCCCCATTTAAGTCGGTTCTGCTGATATTAATAAAATGCAATATTTACCCGATTTCCACCCATATGACAGCACTTTTAATGAGTAATGACAGTCCGGGAATTTAACTACTAAACACATATCAACCATTATATTACTTTTTTGTTTTGGCTCCCAACCATGGGCCGCATGTTGAGCCCCGTGTAAACCCAAACTGCATTACGGTCCACAAGCAAATGGGCCACATGTTGAGTAGCCCTGCTGTAGAGTTTAAGTCAGGTTAACATTTGAGAAAGTCTAATGCTTACTGATTGAATTTAGCACAAATGTGCCTCCAGAATCCAAAAAGCAACTGCTGATCCATCATCAGGCTAGTCTTGCTTTCACTTCACAACACTGACAATAATACAGTATCTATTCTGAGCTATACAACTTCAAAAAAAAATTAGACTTCTAGTACAAGAGGATTACTTCTCACCATAGGCAAATAGCCACATAACATTTTGAATTAAGAAGCCTCTGGCTACAGGAGCTACAAGCATGAGCATGATTCATTTAAGACAGGAGCTACTGCAATACAGATCCCAGACCATTCCATAATAGTCCCTGCTACTTCGGCCTAAACTAAGCAAAGCTTCATTGGGTATTAGAACTTGGATACAGACACCATGTAGGATTAAATCCATTTATACCAGTGAAAAGAGGCGCCGAGAAAAAAATTAAGTTCTGCCATTGAGATTCTACATGCATTTAGCACTCAGCAAGAGAAACTAAATCCTGTTTGCTCTGTGGTGAAATGCAGCACAAGCAGTGGCAGTTTCCCTCTTCTGCACTGACTGCACTTTTGACCTGGTGAGACTACCCCTGCCATGGCGGAAAGGGTGGTCTGCTCTCCATGACTCATTGAGTGACTGCCCTCTGCTAAGACAGCAACAAGGCTGCTAAGGAGTGATTTTTCTGATGAGTCTGCAAACTCCCAGCTCTTTGAGAGAACGGATTTCACCCCAACCCTGCTGATGGTGACTTCCTGGCACTACAGTTTGAACCTCTCTGGTCTGGCAGGACCACGGATGTTGCTGGACCAGAGAACTTCTGGACCAGAGAGCAGTAGGCCATGGGGCCCCAGCTGCCCTGGGACTGGCAGCAGAGCCAGGAGCCCAGGAGCCCATGGAGCCAGTCTCCTCTGGTCTGACAAACTCCCTCCTTCAGAACTAATCAGGTTCCAAGGGTGCCGGACCAGGGAGGTCCAACCTGGATCCAGAATGGTGACACACAGTAACAAAGTGCCATTTTATCAAGACATTCGATTTTTGTTTCCCCAGTTCTCTTAAAAAGTGTCATTACAGTTAGAATGCTCGGCAAAACCAGACATTTAATAAGACCCTCCAACTAGTACATTTTAAGATCTTGTAGAGCAAAACAACATGCCTAAGTATCTCGAGAGACATTACATTGCAACCATCTCGTAAGTGGAACAAAGAGCAGTCTTTAACTTTATCTGTATTGACAGTATCCTGAAAGGCAGCCCTGCCTTTAGTCACTTAACAAAAGACCAAGAGCCACCTTTGCAAAGAACTCTTTTCCTTCACCACATCTGTGTGTCATGCACATTTTATAACATTAGCAAAACAGAGTAGCCCTTGAGCTCTGCATCTCAAAGGATGACACCTAGGTAAATATCGGCCCTTTA